AGCACTAAAAACAAAAAAAATAAGGGCTTTAAAGAAAAAGTAAGCACCTATAAGGGCCTTTATATTTTATTTTCAAATACAGTCAAAAGTCGTTAATTCGGACACCCATAATCCGGAATGATCTATAATCCGGACCTCAAAGCTACAAATTTTCAGCGCATGCGTCGTGTTGACGCATTTGCGCAGAGACGAACATTTGCGCAGAGACGAATGCGCAGCTTACCGTTGCGAATTTGCGTGTGCGCAAAATATGTTTACGAATGCGCGTTTAATGTATAACGGACGGGATAAGCTAAGCTAAAATTATCCAATTATCTATTTCAGTTAATGTTGCAGATTGCGTTGTTCCTTAATCTTCGAATTGGATCCGGATTATTATTTTTTGCAGACTGTTAGAGCAATTTTATAAAAGTAAGCTTGTACTTTCGATTATGTCAAATAGAATTTCCGATATATATTTACTAATATGTAAAGGATATACAAAGCGAAAGTATCTTTCGGAGTCCATTAAACAAAAAGTGGTATTGCTGCAAAAAATGGATAAAGGCCATATCCTTTGTTTATCTAAACTTTAACGTTTGTTTATCTAAACTTTAACGTTGTTTATCTAAACTTTGTTTATCTTTAACGCGGCAGCGTGCATTGAATTGGAAGTTGATCTGTCAGCACTATCCTTATCTTAAGGGCAGATGTTTTTATTTTATTTGGCTTATAATTGCTTACTCAATGTAGTATTTCATCTGGTCTTTGATATGATTTAAATCAAATGCCTCGTCATTATAATTCGCTTCCGATAGCGAAGAAAGTAACAGAGGTTATTGAAAACGAAAAAATTTCGATTGACAAATTAGTCCGTATTCTCGACACAGCAATTATAGGACTTGAACAGCGGAACTTTGTAACTGAACAAGAAATTATGTCTGTTTATAGAATTAAAGAGAATGTATTATAACAAAAAACGAAGCAACTTAAACAACTTAAATTGAAAGAAATGTTTAATAAAGTAAACAAATAAATATTAAGCTTTTTTTTTTTTTTTTTTTTTTTTTTTTGTAAATTTTGATACCCTTTAGATCATAATTGTTCTTTATTTCGTAAATTACGGTTTCATATTTTTAATTTTATAATTTCTGCATGCCATTTTACCAGATTTAAACTGATGATCTATAATCCGGAAAAATCGATAATCCGGAATCGCCGAAGTCCCGACGAGTCCGGATTAACGACTTTTGACTGTATAAGGACTTATAAGCACTTATAAGGGCCGCTACGAACCCTGTTTCTGCATGCCATCTTACGCGATTTAAACTGATGATCTATAATCCGGAAAAATCGATAAACCGGAATTGGCGAAGTCCCGACGAGTCCGGATTAACGACTTTTGACTGATGCGTCTTTTGTATTTACCTATTATATTAATTATCAGATATCATTTTGGGAATATCAACAAGCAAAACACTTAAAACTCAGAAAAGACACTTGTAATAGAAATATTATGCTTTTCATTACATGAATTTCAAGCATTTTCTTTAGATTTGTCCTACAAGTAGTTAAAACGGCTGAATACTGGTAGTTCGATCTCGGCTGAAATCCCTGATAAACAAGCTGGATATGCAGAAGTTTTTTTTATTATTATTTATTTTTTGCATGTTGTTTTGTGAGCATTTTCATGGTTTTCCTTAACTGATGTAAATATGAGTGTACTTACCCTAAAAAATATTCCACAAAAGCATGCCTTTTTCAGCTAGCCCTCACATGCTTTGCATATTGAATTAAATAAACACACAAACCCTTCTTATTCTTAAAATGATAAAGTAATTAATTTCACATTACATGCAATGAAGCTTTTTAAAAGCTAGGATACTTTCTAATTACTGCTGTTCTTCTCGGTTATATGTGAATAAATATCTCAATGACACTGCTTATGATACAAAAATTGTTTCAGGTAAGTCTTCTTATGCACAGTGGTGAAGCGAGGGGGGGGCAAGGGGGTATATGATGACCCGGGCACCAAATGATCTCCAAACAAGATTTTCATCATATCACTGCGTTTTTTGGGGGGGGTGCCAAAAAGGTATTTTGGCCTGGCCAACAATTATGCTCGCTACTCCACTGCTTATGCAGTCATAAGCATGATATAAAGAAAACAGATGGCATGAAAATACCTAATCCATACAATCCTTAGTGACTGATATTTGACATAGTTTTCATGTTGCATCTGTGAACTACAGTGTGAGATTTGATTGAGCGAAATTGTGACTAAATTTCAGAAGACTTTTTTAATAAAATTATGGTGGGAAAATTTTAAAGTGAAATTAAAATCAAAAGATAAATTGAACAGTAAAATCAAAACAGAAATGTTGTCCATAAATATATTAATTACAATTAAAGATAAAAAAGATATTTTAAATATTCATATAATAAATATATGTAATTAATGAAATTCATATAAATATATGCGTTTCAAATTATCTAACTTTCACCATATTTGCATTTTGATAATGTTATTAAATGTGGACCTTAAATAACACTTTTAGCAGCATATATCAGTTGGGTTTGGTTCGTTTAAATTATGGGAAAGCATGGGAGAGATCTGCCTAAGAGGAAGGATGGCTTCAAGGAGGTCTTTCTGAGGGGATCTGGTTTGAATCCATGTTACATATTGGGAATACCATGAAAACAATCATGCAACTAGCTCATTTGCTTGGCTAATCAAACTACCAAACTTCAGTTGTTTCACTGTTCGGTTGCATATCAGTTGCAAAGCACTAAATAAATAATATGTTCCTTGGTTCTTGTTATGAGTTACATGCAAGAAAGTTCAGTTCTGAGAAGCACAAAAGCAAGTCTTAATAAAAATTAGTATGCCAAATTTAAAGTGAATATGTTGGGTTTTTTGTGTGCAATACATGAACATATATATACAAAACAAGTCTGAGAAAAATATAATTTACTGTATACGCTAACGTAATCTCCGCACTTTTTTTACTGAAATTACATCACTAAAATGCAAGTGCGGACATTACACGGGTCTTTCAAATGACGCGCCTTTTTCTCACGAGTAATTTTCCATGTAAATTTCATTTCAAAAGTTAAATAAATAAGTTCTGAGTGGGAGAAAATGGCATAGGTAATAAAAGTATCAAATTTAAAGTTGTCTAATAGCAACCTAAAATTCACAAACTCACTTTCTCCCATCCATATATATAATATAAATTACCCTGTTTATGTTATCAACACTCGGCGCATATTTATTCACACAGGAGCTCAATATAGAGGCACAAATTAATTAACAATTGCAATTTTAATATTTACTTTTACACAAATTAAATAAAAGTTGTTTCGGTTGATCTTTGGATTATGGTAACTTGGCGATTTTTTGGCCAAAATTTGGCGACCAACCCTGCTACAGCAACCTACTAGTTTTCGTTCGGATGCCATTTTGTTTTCACGAAGTGAAGGCATTTTTTTTTTTTTTTTTTAATCAACATTTTTTTCCAACAATCTGCTAGCCAAATTACACTTATGCTAGAACTTTTATGGAACAAAAGTGCTTAATTATGACGAAGATTAGGTGCGATATTGGAACAAAGTGCAGAATCGCCCACTGCTTGTTGCGTTTTTAAGAATTGCACATACACGGTATCATCCATGTACACATCGACCTATTTTCACTTAAAAAAACATCCCAGAATTGCACAAAAATGGCATTGCGCACACTTTTAACTTTATCCATGTACACTGCTAAAGTCCTAGCTAGTAACCTTTATCGTCTTACCAAACTGTTGCCAAACTACCTGTTACCATATTCCAAAGATTAGCCATTGTTTCTTTTAATATATTGCACACATTATTTTTTAAAAAATCTATTCTGACGCAATGTATGAAAATCCTTTTCGTTTCATCATTCGCGGCAACCAGTCTCCACTCGCTTTAAACTGCCATATAGGAATGTATTCTCATGCAGCAGCAAGCGCTGTTATTTGGCCCATTTCCTATGTTATGTGTACCCTTGAGCATGTATATCACGAACATATGCAACTACTTTTTTAAGTTCGGAAACTTGCATTTCGAACTACGAAACACGTATCTCGTCTTGCTTGTTGCCGCCAGTTCACCCCGCTGTTTGCTCCAATTGTGCACACACTTTTCATCTACCTTATGTACACTTGTTGCTACGCTTTTCCCATTTTCCTGCACAAATTCTATAACTTTCAGTTTAAAAGCCACTGAATGGATGGTGTATTTTCCCATTTCAAGCACACTGCTAACAAGAATTCTAAATGATACTATGAATGAAAAGAGAAATCTTGAAAGCCGAGTGGTTTGCTGGCACCAATGTTATGACTGAATAACAGTTTCACCTGAATGCAAAGAAAGTCTTTGCTTTCCATCCTGGCACCAACCAAAGACTAAACAAATGAATATTCTTTCTTTAGAGATGTTTATTTATTAAAGGGCAAAAGGCAATGTTAAAAATATAGTAAGAAATTTTTTAGTTTTTAGAGTGCGGGTCACTTTTTTTTTACATAAAATTTAACTGAAAAGTTGGGATGGACACATTACATGAGCGTATACGGTATTACTAAAAAAAACTTTTATGTAATCAGATAATTGCAAATAAATTTCTATTTAAATGAGAATATCTATTGATTTCATTTATGTATTGATAATGGATTTTCAATCATAGTTTTGGAAGTACTTTGAAATTATGCAATGAAGATATTAATTATAAAAGTGGCTTTTTGATTTTATATTTTCATAATTTCCTTAGAAACTGCACTGTTAAAAACAGGAATAATTTGGAATTTTATAATACTGAAAGATATTCAAAGACAGACCTGTATTTTACTATTTTTGTTCCCATTAAATAGATAATTCTGTCAAGAAAAAGGTTCATTATTACATGATTATTTTACTTCCATATGCTTAATATATTGTTCTCTCAGCTAACTTGCATTTATGCCATTTATTATTTAATTAATTTTAATACCACTTACTTCCATGGATTTAATATCTTTTAACCCTATGCCGCACATCTTGATGTTGATCAACTGTTGGTGAGTAAAACTGCAACAGTGCCAGTGGGCTCTTTGCCGAAGTGCCAACGGGCACTTTGCGAAAGAAAACCTTTTTTCCCTTAGTGCTTCTGGAACTTCCATAGCATGGAACAAAAATGATAGATTAAAGCATTTATTATCTGGTTTATTTTTGAGAATATATGCTCTAAAGCATTTATAATTTTATTTTACGGAACAAAAACATCCCCAAGTTGCCAAAATGGAAAATAATTTCACTTTAAAATATGACAGCGGAAAATAAAAAAATATTATTTTTCTTTCACTATAACATGCAAAAAATAAATAAAAACAGTTTTTAAATAAATATTTAGTATAACAGATTTCTTACCTACACAGAAATAATCTTTCCTTCTGTTGTATATGCATTACACACATGGGAATGCTATATTTGATATGCTCAAGATTTAACTGAAAATACTGAGACATAATTTCACCATTTTAACATTGCTGTGGAACCCTGCACTGGATTTGTGAATGTTTATACACTGACACATTTGATTCTGGACCCAGATAGGCATGGTTGTCAATAATTGTTCACCATAAGTGGAAATACATGATACATTTTTCATGACAGGCACAAGAAAAGCATTTCTATCAGTAATGCAAAGCTGTAATTCATATCTGCATTAAATTCATAAATAGATGAGTTTAACATAAAATGCATATAATTCACAGTATGCATACTGGATGAAATATTTAGCCACCTTTTAGAATTTAAGTGTTTGAAGTTCCGATATATATAATACATTTCACTATGCAACAGATGTAGACACTAAAATTACCACATCAAAATATTTTAAAGAATATTTTAACTTGTGGAAACTAATAAATTGTTTACAATTTATTTTGATGAAATGAGAATTTATATATCTCACACAGGGTCACGGATAGACCATTCAATATAATCTCCCCAAACCTATCACTGATTGATACTATAAGTTCTAAGAACTTTGCTTTTTCTAAATTCTGTCATTCAGAAAGGAAAAAAACCAGACTTGGCCTCACATAATGAGATTTCTTAGCTGTACAGATAGGTGCTTACTGAGTAGTAAATAAAAGTTACAACTCCTAAATGCTAAAAAGATGGCTTTCTCTTCTTCATAAATAAAGCAACATTTCTTGAAACTCTTCATCGCCTTAAACGACATGTTACAAACTTAATTCATAACATTTGCCTCTTATGCTGCATCCATATTTAAATCCTCTTTATGAAGATGAATGAATAGATTTTTACACACAAGTGTTCACAGTGTAAGTAAGCATATGCTTGAATAAATGACCCTTCTCAGTAATTATCTCCTTACATACTTCACACACATGAGGTTTCTTTCCTGTGTGAATATGCACATGATTGATTAAATTACTCTTTTCGCTAAATGTCTTCTTACACAATTTACAGATATGGGGTTTCTTTTATCTGTGAGTATGTGCTACATGGTAGTTTAAACTGGCTTTTAAACTGAATGTCTTCTTACATACTTCACACATATGACGCTTCTCTCCTGTGTGGAACAAGCATATGTATGTTTAAATTACTCTTTTGATTAAACTTCTTCTTACATACTTCACACATATAAGGCTTCTCTCCTGTGTGAATAAGCATATGCATGTTTAAATTACTCTTTTGAGCAAACTTCTTCTTACATACTTCACACATATGGGGTTTTTCTCTTGTGTGAATACGCATATGACTATTTAAACTACTTGTGCCACTAAACATCTTCTTACATACTTCACACATATGGGGTTTTTCTCTTGTGTGAAAACGCATATGACTTTTTAAACCACTCGTGTCACTAAACATCTTCTTACATACTTCACACATATGAGGTTTCTCTCCTGTGTAAACCAGCATATGCATGTTTAAATTACTCTTCCGAGTAAACGTCTGCTTACATACTTCACACATATAAGGTTTCTCTCCTGTGTGAGAAAGCATATGTCTCTTTAAAATACATTTTTGATTAAATGACTTCTCGCATACTTCACATGTATAAGGTTTCTCTCCTGTGTGGGTACGCATATGAACGATTAAATAACTCTTTCGAGTAAACGTCTTCTTGCATATTTCACATATATGTTTCTCTCCTGTGTGAAAATGCATATTCATGTTTAAATTATGTTTATGATTAAATAATTTCTTATGTACTTGACACAGGAGACTTTTCTCCTGTGTGAATAAGCAACTGTGTGTTTAAACTACCCTTTTCAGTAAACATTTTATTACACACTTCACAAATATGAGCTTTCTGTCCTGTGTGAATAACAATATGCTGGTTTAAAACAGACTTTCGAGTAAACATCTTCTTACATACTTCATATACATGAGGTTTTTCTCCTGTATGAATAAGCATATGATTGTGAAAAATAGCCTTTGAACCGAACATCTCACATACTTCACACATACGAGGCTCTCTCCTGTATGAATAAGCATATGATTGTTAAAACTACTTTTTACACTAAACTTCCTTTTGCATACATCACATACATGAAGCTTGTTTCCTCTGTGAAGGAGCATACGCATGTTTAAATTAGCTTTTCGATTAAATGATTTCTCACATAATTCAGACATATGAGGTTTCTCTCCTGTGTGAGTAAGTATTTGCTAATTTAAATGATCCTTTTGAGTAAACATGTTTTTACATCCTTCATACATATGAGGTTTCTTTCCTGCACAAATATGCACATGTATCTTTAAATCAGCTTTTCTCAAATGATTTCTTACATACTTTACTAAGGCTTCTCTCCTGTGGGTACGCATATACTTCTTTAAACCAGACTTTAGTTTGAATGATTGATTAAATTTCTTATACTCATGCTTTTTAAAAATGTTTTTTTAATGGGTATCCTTAAGCTATTTTAAGATATTGCTTCTGCAAAGAGATTGAATACATAGTCCTAGACACAAAGGTTCTTTTCTGTAGAGATAACTATATTTGATATTATACAACTTGTTAGATAAATCAGGAGGATATTTATGCTCTGCATGGATGTAAAATAAGATGGATAAATTAATTTTATTCAATTAAAAATTATTAATACATATTGTGCATGAGACATCTACTGTACTGGGTAAAATCTGTACTGCATAAGATCTACTTGACCACCAGGAACACTCCAGTAAAAATCAATTAGTTACATTTCACAGAATTTTTTTGCTCAAAAACATTTATGTACTTAACAGTAAATTTAAGGCATATATCATATAACCTTCATTGTTACTATATAAAGTTTTGATATTTCTAGATCTGTTAGTGTTTAACAGTTGTTTATTCAAAAGTGCTATATAACTTCCGCATTTCACAGCACATAATTTGCAAAGTAATTGACTAAAGAGGAACAAAACCTCCTTTCAATGCGCAACAAGTAACCTCCTTGATGCGCAACACACATTTCATTCATTATTTCATTCGTCAATAGGACACACAATACAAGCGTCTAAACCCCCAAGCATCATCATAACCGGTTTTTTCCCGGTGTGTGGGAAAAGGAGAAGAGAAAAGGGATTTTGAATATAGGGAATTTTAGTCCATAGCGTTGTTTGTATTTCGTAGCTGGTGAATTGTAATTGAAATGTCTTCAGAAAATTTTATCATATCTTCTGAATTAATTCCTGAAATGGAAAATCAACCGTAGAAAAGTTTTTCATGTGTTGATTGTGGAAAAAGATACACTATATTCTCTAATTTAAGAAGACACGTAGCATATCATCATCCCGCAAAATTGCAGAACATAAAACGACGAAATGGATTGCGAATTTAAATGTTCTAGTTGCACATGTCAGTCAGCAATCTATAAGTCATTTAAAAGCTCATGAACGGCAGAAACATCAATTCCATAAATGTTTACTGCTCAATTCCTATTTTGATAAGCGAAATATTATTTTACATTTCGAAGGTGATCATGATGTAAGAATAGATAAAAAACATTTAGAATTTTCATTAGAGGTCTTTTATGATTGGAAACAAAGTACTGATAAAGAAACACATTCAAAATTTATTGTCGAAAGCACCAAAATATCCAGCAATGCTAAATATTACTTTTTTATTGCCCATAAATTTGGTATGTTTAAATACGAAAATCTAGGAAAGAGACATTTAAAAGTAGAAGGTAGTGCTAATATAAATGGATTTTGCCCACCTAGCATTTTAAAGTATGTTGTACACATGGAATAAATGCTTTATATTTAACCATCATTTGCAGAACAGTACCTGCCGGCTTTCAAAATGTAAATAACATCTATATAGATTATTATTTTTTCACAGATCATTTCCTGTTTCTTAAAAAGTTTTTTTTTTTTTTTTTTTTTTTTTTTTTTTTACATTATTTTTGAAAAATATTAACCTATGAGCCACAACGTTAGTCAAATAAACAATTTTTCGCCAGTTTACATAACTGCCAATAAAGAGCAGAATTCTTATATTTCTTGTGCAGAATTCCGATCATTTGCTTGTGACTCAAACTAACGTAATTAACAATAAATTTGTTAAAATGTAGTGTAATACTGTCTGCTCATATCGGATGATATTTGCACTCAGAGACTTTTACACAATTTAAAAATTGAAATTTCCCACACAGTTAATCTTACACAATCTATTAAAACAGATTAGCAACTTTTATTTTTAAGGAAACTAATCTAAATAAATATTATCGCAATTTCTTTAGCATCTGATGCGATTGCGTAAGCATGGGTGAAAACGACACCCTCCATCACGAGCGATTTGTTAGTTCTTGGACGAAATGCCTTTCTTCCCTTTCTCAATCCGAAACCGAGCTATGGTCCAGGGGCGTAGCTAGAGGGAGGCAAGAGAGGGCATCTGTCCCCGGGCGCAGAATCCAAGGGGCGCCAAACTGATGTTACGACCTTTTAGAATTAAATGTTTTCCATCCTTGGCAAGCAGTAGGTGGCGCGAAATCTTCAGTTGTCCCTGGGCGCTGAAAACCCTAGCTACGACTCTGCTATGATCAAAGGTGAATCATGGGGTCTAGACGCTTGTCAGAAGAAGGGGAAATTATTTGTTCAGGTAAATATACGTTTGAGGTTCACCTTACGAGATTTTCTAGGTTGAAGAACAAAGTATGGGACATCCGAGAAATACCGGGAAAGAATTTTAATTGACACAGCCACACCACTGAGAAAAATTTTAAGTTTGTACATAACAGATAAAGGAAATGTGAATGCCAGTTCAGATGAGTTGGTTCGCTTGACCATCAAATATTCTGAACCGCCGCCCCATCAAGGCGCAGCTGGGGCAGGTACTTGTAGCAAAAAATATGTATGCACAGTCTTTGCTTATAGCACGTAAGATAGCATCATCAGTAGAAGTCGTTCCCCCACCCCTCACTTTTGCTCATAGCCTGGTTTCGGAATGAGAGGGAAAAAGGGATTTCCTCCAAAGCACTTAACAATCGTTCCACCGCCTAGCTCATGCATTTCTGTACCTTCAGCGTACCTTATGACCGCCGGAACACAGCACATAATTCTACGTGCTAATCGCGGCCTAAAGAGGAACTTGGAAAACCCAAGGACGTCTATATACATATTCTTTGGCTAGACGTCAAACCTCTTATTTGCTTATAACCGGTTTTTTTTTTCATTCTCTGGGATATACGGAAGGGAAAAAGGATTTTGAGTATAGGGAATATTAGTCCAAAGCGTTGTTTATATTGCGTTCCTGTGAAATTACCGTTCAGAAAATGTATTAACGTATCTTCTGAAATAAGAAAACGGCCCTTTACTGGGACAAGTAATTTCGCATCGGAAAATCACGAATATCCTTGGAAACAACTGAAAGGTCTTTTTCAGGGTCAAATACAGTCAAAAGTCTTTAATCCGGACGCGTTGGGACTTCGGCGATTCCGGATTATGGGTTTTTCCGGATTATAGATCATCAGTTTAAATCTGGTAAGATGGCATTCAGAAATTATAAAATTAAAAATATGAAACCGTAATTTATTAAATAAAGAGCAATTATGATCTAAAGGGTATCAAAATTTACAAAAAAAAAGCTTTATATTTACTTGTTTACTTTATTAAACATTTCTTTCAACGCGCGCATACGTAGAGCATACATTACGCATAGTCGAAATTAGAAAATTGCAACCAGAAAACTATTTGATGTGTATTCCTGATATTTATAATGACGAGGAATTTGATTTAAATCATATCAAAGACGGAGTACATCGAGATGAAATACTACATTTAGTAAGTACGGAATTATAAGCCGAATAAAATAAAAAATCTGTCCCTAAGATAAAGATAGTGCTGACAGATCAACTTCCAGTTCAGTGCACGCCGCGTTGTCCCCCCCCCCGCAGAGCAGCGTGAAATTGATAAACATATTTCGGAATGGTTAGAGAATCAAAGGATATGCCTTTATCCATTTTTTGCAGCAATTCCACTTTTTGTTTGATGGACATCGAAACATGCTTTCGCTTCGTAGATTCTTTGGTAGGTCCAGAATCGGAAATTCATTTTTACATAATCGAAAGTTCAAGCTTACTTTTATAAAATTGCTCTAACAGTCTCCAAAAAATAATAAGCCGAATCCAATTGAAAGATTAAGGAACAATGCAATCTGCAACATTAACTGAAATAGATAATTAGATAATTTTAGCTTAGCTTATACCGTTCGTTATACATTAAACGCGCACACATTAGCGTATTATGCGCATGCGTACAGTAATATGCGTTGACGCATGCGCAGAAAGTTTGTATCTTTGAGGTCTGGATGACAGATCATTCCGGATTAAAGACTTTTGACTGTATTTGTGACACGCAAAATCAACTGTTGACAGTGCTATGAATTGCGGAAAAAGATACGCTATATTTTTTAACTGAAAAAGACATTTGGCAAGTGGTCATCCCACCGATAAGATGATTCAAAACGCAGGAAAGAATTCAAATTATACCAGAATGCGCAACTAAAGCATCAAATTTAAAAGTTCTAGTTGTATGCGTTGCCAAATACATTTTACAGGTATTATGCGTTGCCTATTTTGGCCACAATGTCTTGTGAATTCTTTTTATGGCGGGTAGATAATCAGACATTTCTTAGTACCAGTTTCTTTTTTATTAATAGTTTATCAATGTGTCAATGATTAAAATGCTGATGTTAGGAAAAGCTGTTTTTCCTTTATTTTTACTTATCAAAAACTACACAAAAATATTAGATGTGACATCTCAGCTTTGTCTTCATTTTCCCAGGCTTGTGTTTTCCTTTTAGCGCATTATGCAATGCTTCCAGATTTGTATATGCTATATCAGTATGTTATGTGTTTCAATATTTGAATTTTCTGTTAGTAAAGCATACCATCCCATTATCGCAGAACTGTACCTGCTCTCAAAATGTACTTACCAGCCATATAAGTTATTCTTTATTCACATTCAGTTTCTGGTTTCTTAGAAAAAAATCTTTCTTTGTTACATATTATTACTTAGAAACAGAACATTACATACGAGCCTTAAAGTTAGTGATACAGGTTTTGCCAGTTTACAAGGTTGAATATATAAGAAGACAACAAGCATAAGTTGAAAATATTAAATAAAATGAATGCTTGTATAATTTTCAAAAAGTTTCAATCTCCTACAAAGAAAGGTTTCTAGATTCATAAATCAGAGCTGCTAATGAAAAGCAAAACTCTTTATTTTCCTCCTGATGTATTCCAATAATGCCCTTATTTAGTCATTATAGAGATGAGATTTAAATTAATGTAATTAACAATTAATTAGCTAAAATGCAGTCACTTGCTGGTATGGGATCACCTGCTGATACCTGTGAACAATATTTTTACTCTAATATTTTTGTTTATATTTTTTTTCTAACTGCAGCTTCTGAGTAACATTGCACGAGCTTCAAGCAGATGTAATCGTTTTCTTTACTCTATAGGTTTTTTTATTCATTATATATTCATATTATTATATCTTATTATTATTATCTATTTTCGTAACAGTTTATGTTTCAGAGAATGGCAATATACTAATTTTTTTTTTGTTTTTTTTAAGAGAGAGAGTGTAACTTTTTTTTTTTTTTAATTTTAGAGTATGAGTAAAGGAATTATTTAATTATTGTAGAGTCATAAATAACTAAAGAGATATAGTTATTTCCGAGTAATAAATAGTTTCTTGATGTAACAAATTTGGCAAGAATTTTTGAACAACCTGGATGATATGAACTTTTGCACAATTTACAAAAGAAATTTTCCACATAACTAATCTTACACAATACATTAAATGAAATTAGCAACTTTATTTGTTAGAAAACTAAGCTAAGTAAATATAGCATCACTATCACAACTTCGTTAGTATTTCGAGCGATTAGTAGCTGCATACATGCGATCTTCGAGCATGAGCGATTGTGAGCGTTTAGACGAAATCCCTTTTTCCCTCTTTCATTCCGAAACCGGACTACAGTAAGACCCCGCTTAACGCTGGGGATACGTTCCATCGAAGTAGAGCGTAATGCGAAACAGCGCTAAGCGAGGCTATCTTAACATGTAAATAATGGGGTTAGGGGAAGACGGATAAAAAATGGTTAGGCATTAAATTTAATAATGTTTTTTTAATAAAAATAAAATCAAACATTTATTTCTTACAAAAATAAAAACAATATAAACGCATATACTTTTAAAAGCAAATAAAATTCTCAGTCAGATCATTCAGTCTATTCTGGGTTTCCAATTTTCTGCCTTTTTGTCAAGAAGGCATTATGATAGATTGGCTTAATGGCATATTGCGTTCAATTTCGTCGTCAATCCATATAGACAGTCGTTTTCCCATTTCCTCTATAATGTTATTTCTAGAACGGGTAATTCTAGTTGCAGAGCTTGACGTAGTTGCAGTTGCTGATGACAGTATTTTTTCTTTATTCTTAAGAATTGTCCTTATTGTTGAAGTTGCCAAAATCAATGCAGCACTAATTTGAGATTGACGTTCACCAGAATCTAATCTTCTAATCACTTGCATTTGAGTTTCCAGTGAAATGCTTTTTCTGGTTGCTTTCTTTTCTTGTTTTTTATTATCACACCCATGATAAAAACTAAAGATCATAATATTGTCACTGTATTAATCGTTATAGTATTATACAAATTTAAACTTACAATAATGTCAATAAATGTTTCAAATGATAAAAATGCGTCCACAAAGCAAGAAACACAACTACACTGTTTCGGATATGTTATTTGGAAACCTAGCGCTGCGCACAATTTCGGAGAATCCCCGGGTTGAAATAAAAGAGCGCTAAACCGAAACAGCGCTAAACGAAACAGCGTTAAGCGGGGTCTTACTGTATGAGCAAAACCAGGATTTAGAAGAGAAGGGCTAGCTCATAGAGCTTTTCCCCCTGAAGCAGAAAGTGAGAAGTGATGACGTAGTCATGATGACATTGAGCGCGCAGATGCAATTCACAGCTTGAAAATTAGCGATTTTGAACCAGCGTTTGAAATGAGCTGTGTGTGAAAGATAGCTATAATTTGGAAGAGACAATGTTACTGCTTTATGCATTTTAGACTGAACCATTAAAAAATTTAATAATACTTACTGAATTTTAAAATAATAGATAAAATGTGCTACTCTTTTAACATAAAGTTCCGTAGATTTTTTTCAATTTTTATTTGCAGGTTTTTTATTTAAATAACGTTTATTTCTAATCATTTCTTTATCTGCATGTGGACTGAGAGAATTTTTTTTATACTGCTTCTAAGATAAACTATAATAGCAGCTATTGAAATTACTCAAAAACAATTTTACATTGACATAGTTTTAAACATATATGACATATAGGGCAACATTTCTGCTAACCTGCGTTTGATTTTTTTTGCCTAATTGTCAATTTTACATTATTATAATTCTCTTCCGATTCAACATAATAATTTTTTTAAATAATTTTGTAATTTTGTATCTATATTACAATTAAATAAATATATGTAAGATTGTTACCTTAATTTTGACAAAATAGCTTTACTCAGAGTACCTAATTAATACAGTTATTTAATTTTCAAAAGTGAGAGTAAAGGAAGCAAGTCTTTTATAACCAATTACTTTAATGTTTTATACCATTATATTTTATCTAGAATGCTAATTTAGCACAAAATCTAATCAATAATTAGTACAAAGGATACAATAAGAATAACTTTAATAAGTACTTAACAAAATTAGTTTGTTGAATACTTGTTATTCTTTAATTAAGACACAATAACACGCCGAATAAATACTAATCCAGAAGTCAAACAACAAAAATCAGCGGTTATATTTACAAAATTTTCACAGGACTAGTTTCGATGGTTTTACCGAAACCACCATCTTCAGCTGCAAAACCGCAAATGAACAAGATAGGAAAATAATGATTAGATAGATAAAGAAAGCCTGGACAAGAATAAGCAAGTGGCGCCCATCTTTGGCCGAAACCAGAACTAAAAACTAATTTCTCTAAAAGCCGAAGGCAACTTGGGTTGGAATTACGATCGTTAACTAGAACAGAAAGATTTTTATGAATGTGAAATGCCTCTAGAAAATGCAGTTCTCCAATGGAAGATGTTTTTTGAATAATTTTAGCAGCAGAAAAATTGAAAGTGTGATTTTCTAACCTCCTTGGTAACGAAACTTGGCATGAAGATACATGTCGGGTAGATATGTAAATGATTAAAAATACAGCGTGATTGCGCATTGCATAATGCCACTAGAGGGCGTTGAACTTCATTCTTTTTGGAGTGTAAAACAGGCAAGCAGAGCTTGTTTGAGTGACATTTCCTATCTGCTTTTTGCTTTAGTGCTTGTATCGTGTATAAAAAATTATAAAAACCAAAAAATGTATAAAATATAAAAGTACAAAAAAATTATAAAAACCTAAAAACTTATAAAAAATTATGATGTTTAAGTTTTAAATTCTTATTCCTATTCCTAAACTTTCTCGAGCCTGTGGCTCCCTCTATTGAGCATCAAGTAAGTTACTTATGCAAAATTTTTCCTATTTCTGCTCACTTTTAGTAATTCTGATGTGGAGGTACATGGTTTTGAACCATAGGCACTCCGAAATTTGCAAATCATTGGCACTAGCATTTGAGTGACAAGACATGGTCAACTACTGGACTTTTATTCTCCACGTAAATATTGTAAATACTTTTTCATATTTTATCAAGACTCTCAATTATCGGTACTCTCATCTTGGAACAACAAGGTTTTTTTTTTTTTTTATGTTTTATTTTTTTTCTACTTGAAATTATCTTTGTATCTTATTAATGTTTGTGAACTCATCTAGTATTTGAATTATTTATTACACCACCCCACGATGTAAAATTCTGCAGTGGCAAAGTGCCACCTTTCCCTTTATTTTTCACATCTTGTTTCTGTGACACCTTTTGCTTATGTTCTTACTTCCAGGATGCCATATTAGAAGAAACTGGCAAAAAGCCTGCAAATTCACGCCGGCTAGGCCCAGTATAACAGCGGTAAATGGAATGGTGTTTGAGTGATAAGCTTTCGACCGTATCTGGCATGAGGGTTTGCTTTACAAGCTCATCAAACTTTAAATTCCTCGTGAACTGATACTCATTACTAAGTCTTTCCTGGAACATCGAACGTTTTTAGTAAGCCAAGGTGATATCAGCTCTGATCCTCATCCCATACGTGCTGAAATTCCACAAGGAAGCATTTTAGGTCTGATATACTACTTAATTTATGTGCACAATTTTCCTAAGTTCTCCAGTGATCACAATTTCCTGCTGGCATGCTATGCAGATGACACTGCGATCATCCAAAAATCAAGAAAACTCGATAACACAATCCCTTAATTACAAGGAAAAATGACAGAAGTAGAAAATTGGTGCCGGACGTGGAGAACATACATAAATCCTGATAAGTCTCAGATCCTTAAAGTCCCTTTCATAAGCAGTGCCAAATATCTGGGTGTCACCTTTAATAGATCCTTCACTTGGTCAGCGCACATTAATACTACCAGGGAAAAATCTACGGTGTCTTGCGGAAACTTTATTTTCTACTCTTAAAAAATTCAGGACTCAGCATGACAGTGGCGTAGTGAGGGGGGCATGGGGGTGTATGATGCCTCGGGCGCCGCCGCTCGCAGATGGGCGCCAAATGGTCTACAAACAAGATTTTCATCATATCACTATGTTTTTTTCGGGGCAGGGGGACGCCTAAAAGGTATTTTGCCCCGGGCGCGAGTTATGCTCGCTACTCCACTGCAGCATGACCAAGAAAAAGCGTATTTATACCACCATTATCCATCCCATCTTTTCATATGCCTCGCCTGTCTGGGCAAATGCAAAACATAATGAAATTAAAAAATTGCAAACCATCCCAAATAAATTTTTACGACTAATTACTGGAGCACCTTACTTCATTATTTATATTAAGATAGCTCCCATTAACATAATGTATTCATCACGTAATTACCTATACACTTGAAGATGCTGTAATAGGTAGAACACGAAGGGAAAGGAAAGTCTTTAATCCGGACCTCAAAGCTACAAACTTTCTGCGCATGCGTAAGCGCATAATGCGTTTACGCATGCGCGTGTAATGTATAACGGACGCTATAAGCCAGGCTAAAATTATCTATTTCAGTTAATGTTGCAGATTGCGTTGTTCCTTAATCTTCTAATTGGATCCGGCTTATTATTTTTTACAGACTGTTAGAGCAATTTTATAAAAAGTAAGCTTGAACTTTCGATTATGTCAAAAAGAGTTTCCGATTCTGGAGCTGCCGAAAGATCTACAAAGCGAAAGCGTGTTTCGATGTTCATCAAACAAAAAATGGATAAAGGCATGAAGAAAGTGACAGAGAGGTTAGTGAAAACGAAAAAGTTTCGATTAAGAAGTTAGGCGGTATTACAGCAATTACAGGACATGAACAGTGGAACTTTGTAACTGAACAAGAAATTATGTCTGTTTATAGAATTAAAGAGAAAGTATTAGCACAAAAAAACGAAGCAACTTAAACAACTTACACTAAAAGAAATGTTTAATAAAGTAAACAAATAAATATTAAGCTTTTTTTTTTTTTGTTGTTGTTTTTGTAAATTTTGAGACCCTTTAGATCCAAATTGCTTTTTATTTCATAAATTATGGTTTCATATTTTTAATTTTATAATTTCTGCATGTCATCTTACCAGATTTAAATTGATGATCTATAATCCGGAAAAACTCCTAATCCGGACTTGTCGGGACTTCAGAGAGTACGGATTAAAGACTTTGTACTTTATACAGAAGATTTTCACATTTTACGTTCCTCATATTACGCTACTAATATTTTTTCTAAAAATTTATTTGTTACATGCATTAATCCATCACACACTTCTTATGTTTGTAAAAGTATTGCACAAAGTCTTTTGTGAGAAAAGATTTTATGAAATTCAAATATAAATCCAGTACTTTAATTACATTAAGATTCAAATATAAAAACTGGAAGACTTTTGTAACATATGCACGTTTCTTATGTGTTAAAATTGGGAGAGAATTTCAACGGTTATTAAATTAATAAAAAAATTTTAAACTATATTTTCTTTTCAAAAGTACAGTATACTCAAAATTTTTACCATCAATTTTTTTCAATGTGTCAAATTTCTTCAAAACCAAACATCGTACAAAAATGCAATACATTTTAGAAAAAGTTAAAAAATCAAATTATAATTTGTTAGTATTTAGGAAATGTCTGAAACAAATACAACCTTGTTTGCTTTGATTTACTACATTCCGTTACCTAATATTAAAAAAGTAAAGAAAAATACAAAAGCAGAATAAAACACAAGAAAAGAAATAAGAAACAAATACACTCTGCTGTCTGTAATTTTCAGTGTTACAGAATGAAGTAGAATGCTCGAAGAGGCATACCAGCGAATAACTTTTGGTTATGGAGATACAATACCATTAAAAAAAGATGCGGTGATTCACTAGCATGCTTTTTTTCTTTTTGCTTAAAATTTCATTACACATTTCACACGAGAAGCCACCGAATTTTCCATATTCACTCCGTTGCCTTTTATAAAAGTAAAAGTTAGAAAATTATTACAAAGCTAAACGAAAATTATATATATATATAGATACGAAAAGAGTTATACCAGCGGAAAGGAATGGAAAACAAACCCTTGAATTGTTGGTATTGAAAATTGGTTGCCAAATGCAGTCTCCGATGATGGCTTATTCTGATTGGTTGAATTTCTTCAGTTTCTGGCAGGTTTTAGCCGGTCGTGTCTCTTTCTTTCAGATAGCATTCTTTTCACTAGGCAGACAGCGCTCTTGTCATTTGATATAATTGACTTATGAAAAAACAGTACAGTCAAAAGTCTTTAATCCGGACTCGTCGGGACTTCGGCGATTCCGGATTATCGATTTTTCCGGATTATAGATCATCAGTTTAAATCTCGTAAGATGGCATGCAGAAATTCTAAAATTAAAAGTATGAAACCGTAATTTATGAAATAAAGAACAATTATGATTAAGGGTATCAAAATTTGCAAAAAGAAAAAGCTTAATATTTATTTGTTTACTTTATTAAACATTTCTTTCAATGTAAGTTGTTTAAGTTTTGCTTCGTTTCATGTGATAATACTTTCTCTTTAATTCTATTAAACAGACATAATTTCTTGTTCAGTTACAAAGTTCCGCTGTTCAAGTCCTATAATTGCTGTTGTCGAGAATACTGACTAATTTGTCAATCGAAATTTTTCGTTTTCAATAACCTCTGTTACTTTCTTCGCTATTCGGAAGCGAATTATAATGACGAGGAACTTGTTTTAAATCATATCAAAGACGGAGTGCAAATCAAGATGAAATACTACATTTGAGTTAAGGAATTATAAGCCAAATAAAATAAAAACATCTGCTCTTGAAGATAAGGATAGTGATGACAGATCAACTTCCAAATCATTGTACGCGCACGCCGCGGCATTCCCCCCGCCGAAGCAGCGTGAAATTGATAAACAGATTTCGGATTTCAAAACATACATTCGCTTTAGATCCTTTACATATTAACAAATATATATCGGGAATTCTATTTGATATAATCGAAAGTTTAAACTTACTTTTATAAAATTGCTCTTACAGTCTGCAAAAAATAATAAGCCGGATCCAATTCGAAAATTAAGGAACAACGCAATCATCAACATTAATTGAAACAGATAATTATTTAGCTTATACGTCCATTGTACATAAAACGCGCACGCGAAAACGTATTCTGCACTTGCGAACACTCATATACGCAGTCGTAAAAGGTCTTACGCGCACGTCAACGCGGCGCATGCGCAGAAAGTTTTTAGTTTTGAGGTCCGGATTATAGATCATTTCGAATTATGGGTGTCCGAATTAACGACTTTTGACTGTATGTCAGCTTTGTGAGCCTTTAAGGAAAACAATATCTAGACTAGAAATCGCTGTTTTCAACTGTCACAGCTTGTATGTAAAATTATGTATGTATAAAATTAAACTTAAATTTAGCAAGCCATAAATTAGAAGTGAATTAAATTACATGTCATGTTCTTGTTTAAATAAAAGAAATAAAAAAAAAAAAGAAAAATATCTGAAAGGTTTCAGATTTTAAATTAAATCCAAATGGACACTTTTTTAACGTTTTGTGTGTTACCTTTATTTATTAAATATCATGTACTACATACTCAAAACATAAAAAAATTTAGTTCAACAGCAACATCATAAAATAATTTTAAAATGAGCATATCTTTAGAATTTCTGATACACAGTCTCGCACACTGGAGGTAATTTTTTTTTTTTTTTTAACTAAGGATGTCACAAAATATATTTCACATCTTTGTACTGTTCACAAAAATGTTATGAAAAGTGTACTTCAGTGTGAAATACAATTGAAATTTTCAATTAGCGAAAATGTTTAATCTTTCAAGCAATTCAAATCGAATTTTGCTGGTGGAAAGAATGTAAGGGTAGTCTATATTTTGGGGTATCCCTTGGATTTTTGCCCATTTGTTTCATTCAGGGTATTAGGGTAACCTGAGTATTTTATGGTTTTTGTTTTGGAAACCCTATTACGACGTGATTGGTTGTAATGCACGATAGCAATGATTTTGAATTGTTGAGAGAATATGCTCAGGCCTTATTTCTGCATTAGATGTTGGTTAGTAAGTACATTGCTTCTTTTGTGCTTTACACTGTAAAATGGCTGACAATGATAAGACTGACCTGGAATTTCTCTATGATTTGGAATGAATGGAAAAGAAAGCATTGGTTGACTGGTGTGTAAACGAAGGTTTAATCAGTAATCAGTATAAACATCTTGTTTGTATGAACAAAATGCGTATGGTTGAACGCAGAAATCATTCAAATCGGTTTCAATGGGTTCGTCATGAGAAATGTTCAAGTGCTCACTATATAAAGTGTTCTATTAGATAGGGGTGATGGCTTGAAGAGAGTAATTTGAGAATTACTGAGAAAGGGATTTTCGAAAGAAATGCTACCGACAGTCCACCACTAAGAAGGCCATTTTTTATTCTCATTTATGTGAATTTATGTGGCAAGGGCAGTATACAGATTCTAGTTCAGATAATTTTAACCAGTTTTGGATGCTGTTTAGGAATTCTGTGCGCCACACACCGAAGACACAGAAATTTCTAAATAACCTAAGTCGATATTTCCTTTTTGTATTGTGCAGATTAGATAACATCTTATTTCCTTGTTTTATTTTCATTTAAAATGCAGGTACTCTTCTGCTATGGGAACCAGATTCAGAAATGTATGCATGTGTGTAAGAATGTATGTGCATATATGTGGGACTATATACATGCATCCATATACAGTCAAAAGTCTTTAATCTGGACGTCCATAATCCGAAATGATCTATAATCCAGACCTCAAAGCTACAAACTTTCTGCACATGCGCATAATACCTTTATGCATGCGCATATGTTTTTACGCATGCTCGTTTAATCTATAACGGATGGTATAAGCTAAGCTAAAATTATCTATTTCAGTTAATGTTACAGATTGCGTTGTTCCTTAATCTTCTAATTGGATCCGGCTTATTATTTTTTGCAGACTGTTAGAGCAATTTTATAAAAGTAAGCTTGAACTTTCGATTATGTCAAAAAGAATTTCCAATTCTGGAGCTGGAAAAGGATCTACAAAGCGAAAGCATGTTTCGATGTCCATCAAACAAAAAGTGGAATTGCTGCAAAAAATGGATAAAGGCATATCCTTTGATTCTCTAACCATTCCGAAATATGTTTATCAATTTCACGCTGCTCTGCCGGGGGGGGGGACAACGCGGCGCGCAATGAACTGGAAGTTGATCTGTCAGCACTATCTTTATCTTCGGGACAGATGTTTTTATTTTATTTGGCTTATAATTCCTTACTAAATGTAGTATTTCACCTCGATGTACTCTGTCTTTGATATGATTTAAATCAAATTACTCGTCATTATAAACATCACGAATACATATAAAATAGTTTTCTTATTGCAATTTTCTAATTTCGGCTATGCATAATGTATGCTTTATGCATGTGCGCATTGCAAGAAATGTTTAATAAAGTAAACAAATAAATATTAAGCTTTTTTTGTGTAAATTTTGATACCCTTTAGATCATAATTGCTCTTTATTTCATAATTTACTTTATTTCATTATTTAATCATATTTTTAATTTTATAATTTCTGCATGCCATCTTACCACATTTACACTGATGATCTATAATCCGGAAGAACCAATAATCCGAAATCGCGGAAGTCCCGACGAGTCCAGATTAAAGACTTTTAACTGTATACATGCATATATTTCTTAAGTCGGTCTGATAATAGAAGAGTACCAGTTTATTGACTTATGTAGAATATAGTTTTTTTAATGTTTTATTGCATTATGTTTTGGATGCCATTTTACTTAGGAGTGTGTTGCACGTTAACAGAAATGCTGCAAAAAAAAAAAAAAAAAAAAAAAAAAAAAAAAAAACGCCACTTTTTGCCATGGGGGAACCTGAAATATACTTTTCCTGGAATGTGATATCCATAAAGGTTATCCGAGTCTAAATAAGTACTCTGAATGAAGTGTTTAAAGTGGCATATTTCTACATTTTCAATGTGGGAATATGCTCATTGAAGCCTTTCATTGCTAGTCAAATAGCAACATAGCATTTTATTACTAGTTAAAATACCAACAAATAATGTTTTACATTACCAATATTTTAGAATGACCTATCTTGCAAATAAAAAGCTCTTCTTTTGTGGAAACAAATAAATGATTTACTAAGAATTTAGATGAAATGGTAAGTTACACACCACTCATAAAATGAAATTTCGAGTCAAGTGCAAAATCGCCTACTTATTTGACATGTTAATATTTGCCGTGTCTTCTTACTTTTTACAAGAGTAAGAAGAATTGGATTTTTGTCAATTTACTTTGACTTTTTAAGTGAAAATACATTGATGTGTACATGGACAAAGTCAAAGGAGTGTGCAATGCCAAATTTCTGCTATTCTCTGATGTTTTTTTAAGTGAAAATAGGTTGATGTGTACATGCATACCAAGTTTGTGCCATTCTTAGAAACGTGCCAAGCAGTGGGTGGTTCTACACTTTCGCCAAAATTTCTTTGCCATCAACAACAAGCCCTTACTACAAAGATAAGAAAAGGTTCTTATTAATCTAACTTTTCCACAAAAGACAGTTAAGCTTCTGTTATTTGTAGATACATGGCTTTCACTTCTCCAACCACAAGTGATTTGTTACATGCGTAACTCGTGGAGTTTCTCTCCATTGCCAATAATCCTAAGTTTAAAGAACTCTTCTGTCTAAATCACTTGTTGTCTGTGTGAATACATATATGCTTGTTTAAATCACACATTGCTCTAAATGACTTATTTCGTATCTCACACGCATGAGGTTTCTTTCCTTTGTGAAAATGTATATGGCTTTTTAAGTAAACACTTTAGTCTAAATCACTTCTTACATACCTCACACACATGAGATTTCTGTCCAGTAAAAATAAACATATGTATATTTAATTTACCCTTTCCTATAAATCACTTATTAAATACCTCATGCGCATGAAGTTTCCCTCCTGTGTGAATAAGCATATGCTTTTTCAACAGAAACTTCTGCCTAAATGACTTATTACATATATCACACACATGAGGCTTCTCTCCTGCATGAATAAGCATATGGTAATTTCCCACACATTTGAACAAATGAAATGTTACATACCTCACACACATGAGGCTTCTCACCTGTGTGAATAAGTAGATGCCTCTTTAATTCACCTTTCAGTCTAAATGACTTATTACATATCTCACACAGATGAGGTTTGTCTCCTGTATGAATAAGCATATGGCGTTTTAAATGAAAGTCCTGTCTAAATGATTTGTTACATAACTCACACACATGAGGTTTCTCCCCAGTATGAATAAGCTTGTGTTTATTTAAAACACCCTTTTCTCTAAATGACTTATTACATATGTCACACGCATGAAGTTTCTCTCCTGTGTGAATAAGCATATGGTTTTTCAACTCAAACTTCTGCCTAAATGACTTATTACATACCTCACACACATGAGGTCTCTCTCCTGTATGAATACGAACATGCTTGTTTAAATGACTGTTTAGTCTAAATGACTTATTACATATCTCACACACATAAGGTTTCTCTGTAGTATGAATAACCATATGGTCATTTAACTTACACTTTTGTGGAAACGACATGTTACATACCTCACATACATGAGGTTTCTCTTCTGTGTGAATAAGTACATGCGTGTTTAAATCACAGTTTAGTATAAATGACTTATTACATACCTCACACACATAAGGTTTCTCTGCTGTGTGAATAACCATATGCTGGTTTAACTTAGCCTTTTGTGTAAACATCACACACATGAGTTTTTTGTCCTATGTGAATAAGGATATGCTCATTTAATTCATCTTTTTGTCTAACTGAATCATTACCTACCTCATATACATAAGAATTTCCTGTTGGGTGGATAGGCATAATCTGTTTAAAAGCATTTATTTCTGTGCATGACATTTAACTTATCTCCCACAAATGAAATTCCTTCCTTATATAAAGAAATATAAGCTGACAACTTTGATATCATATAATTTACTACACACTTAAGAATGTTATCTGTGTTTTGCACACATTTATTTTTAGCAAAATAGTTGAGTCCTTCACACTAAGTTTAATTATCTTGCATAGTGGACAAGATTAACAGAATAACCATACATGTTGATAAGACACATACTTAGTGTGCGATATCTGCATGGCAAGATTTTCGGGAATACATCATAAAAATAAATCATTTTGAACAAATATTATTTCTGCCCTATCACAGATAAAATTTTAATTATGAAACTATGCAATCATGTTATATATGCTACTTCACCGAGTGTTACTTATTTAAAACTGCTAAATCGACTCCATACAGTATGCAAAATATTTTACTGTAGAGGGGAAAAAAATTCAAATTCGTTTGTAAACAAATATGTTCACTCACTGTTTGAAAACAAAGAAACTTGGTATTAGCTTGAAAAAAAATTTGTCCTTTCATTGACTCAAAACACACAGATTAAAACAGCCAGGAAATTTTCACGAGTGGAAAGGGATGTGGTCGTGTCCTTTCTGTCCTACTAATAATTTTGACGCCAGATTATTTGATATCACGCTTATTTCAAGTGTAAAACAATCCTTGTATAAAGTTATATACGCCGCAGTGGCTACTTGAAGTTATGATTTTTTTTTTTTTTTTGATAACATGAGTTCTTAGTATAAACCAGAACTTATTAAGAAGTTACTTATGTAAAAGAACTCATAGTTATTTAACTTCAGGTACATAATTTGGAAGTATTTTGCTGTAGACAAAGTGAACTTCAGACTAACATGTTAAGAAACCTAAGCCATACGCGGCACTTGGCGAGTTTTCAGTTTTGTTGACAACAAGAGACAGAGCATCTGCGCCAGAATGTGGTAATCCCAACAAGTGTTGTAACCCGCGTAGGGAATTTTTCTGAAGGCCGAAAAGGGATTTTTGTTTTCTTCGAGTACGGAACATTGCGGTAAAAGATAAGGCTCCTTTAAAGAATATAGGAGCCTTAGTAAAAGATAATGAGTTTTTGAGTTGATCATTTTTGAAATCATTAGTATACATTTTTCTGTAATAATGTTTTATTATTCCTTTTGGTAGTGGATCATGCATAACAGAAATTTAATTTTTATTGTTTAGAAATTTGTATTTAAATAAAAAATTCTGAAGGTAATAAATCAGTTTCCTCTCCAAAAAAGTGTAAAATTTTAAAAATTTAAGATTATAGTTTTTGAAATAATTAGTAAAATATACATTTAAAAAATTCTGTTCACGATTTCTTTTGGTGGTGGGTAATGCATAATATGAATTCAATTTTTATTGCATATTTCAACGTTCCTGAAGCTCTTGAAATATGAGGTTGGTGTTGATGTAGAGCTTCCGTGGAAGCTTTTTAAGGTATTCGACTACGTTCAGAGCCCAGATTATGGAAAACAGTACAAATAAATCTGTTATTGATATTATTGTAAATGAAAAAATAGTAGTAGTAGTAGTTTTATGGCGCAAAGCTCAATAGGCCATATGCGCCAAACACAGGATTCTTTTTTTTTTAACATACAAACTAAAGGAACAAAAAATATAAAGACAACAGCACACTTTTAAAATCGAGGCAAGTAAAAAGATATTTAAATAATGGGATGAAAATGCTGATTATAACTTTGATAATGAGAGATGCAGTATAGATATAAAATCCTAAAAACATCTGATTAATTAAAATTCCAACATAAAATCTCAGGACAAAAATCAAATTAAATAATAGAAACCTGTTTCCTTGAGGTAGTGAAACAAATTATTATTGACCTCTCTTCCGATTAAACGGTCGAGAGGCAGGTCGCAGCTATTAAAATACTTCTCACGAAGATTATTAAAATATGAACATTCAATTAAAATGTGATAAACTGAAAGACAAACATTACAAGTTGCACAAATAGGCTCGTTCTCAGCTTTCAGAAGGTAGTTATGTGTCACTCTACTGTGACCAATTCTAAGGCGAGTCAAAAGAACTTCCTCCCTGCGATTGCTAGTAGTATCCCAATGCTCTATTTTAGGCTTCACCCTTCTCAACTTGTTATGAAGTTGAAGGTCCCAAAGTTGCTGCCATTTCTTTCGGATCTTCTCTTTTATGACACAACGGATATCTTTAAAAGGGATGAGGCGGCCGGACATTTCAACAGCAGATTTCGCTGCGATATCCGCCAGCTCATTGCCCTTTTATTCCTGTATGTCCGGGGACCCAGCAGTACAGAAGTTCAAATCCACGACATTTCAATTTAATATTCAACTTGAGAACATCCACTATCACAGGATTCTCAGTGCTAGAAAAGGATTCTAAAGCTTTCAAAGCACTGTAGGAGTCCGTATATACAATGAATTTTCGATGGTGCAGCGTTGAGATGTACAAAAGCGCATAATATATGGCAGTCAGTTCGGAGGTTAAGACAGAGGAAGCGTCGTGTAAACGTCTGCCTTCCATGTGGTCACCAATTATACATGACATGCCAACATGGCAAGCTGACTTAGAGCCATCCGTATATATGGGAACATAACTCCTGTAACTCTGCCTGTGATCAGCAAAAATTTGTCTGTAGATGCTCTCATCAGTAGTTGTTTTTCCGTAATTGTGGAAAATGTCAAGAAGGTGGATTAGTGCATTTTCCCAAGGTGCAATTTCAAAATGCTGTACTGCCTGTGGGGAAATATCAAACAGGGAGAATTCTTCAATGAGGGGACGAACTCTAACAGGAAAAGAAGGCACACAGGATGGACGTGCCTCAAATAAAAGGTCACAGCTATTTTCACATATACACAAGTTATAAGGATGGTCAGGTTGAGATAAAATATTAAAATAGCGTAAAAAGAGACAACTCCTCACGCCTCAAACGGAGTGATGGCTCGTGACAGTCAACATAAAGGCTCTGCACAGGAGATGTCCTGAAGGCTCCAGAACAAATCCGCAGAGCCTGATGATGAACAGGATCTAGTTTTTTTAACAACACTGAAGACCGGGCAGATCCGTAAACAACTGAGCCGTAGTCCAGTTTAGAGCGAATTAGAGCTCTGTAAATGCGAAGCATGGAGCAACGCTCTGCACCCCAGGAGGTGTTCGCCAGGACTTTTAAGATATTTAGAACTTTGGTACACTTTTTTCTCAAGTTTAAGACATGAGGAAGGAAAGTCAATTTTCGGTCGAACATCACCCCTAAAAATTTTACTTCAGGTGCAACTGGAATTACAGACCCATTGAGGTATAATTCCGGCTCAGGATGGAGACCTCGCTTTTTACAAAAATGCACGCACACAGTCTTCTGTTTCGAAAACGTAAATCCTTGTCTTTTTGCCCATTCCTGGATCCTGTTCAAAGCGATCTGGAGCTGTCTCTCTACATGTCTCATATCCACACCTCTACAGCTAATTTGTAGATCATCAACATATAAAGAACCTGAAATGGTGGGAGGAAGTTGTTTTAATACAGAATTTATTTTTAGGCTGAAAAGAGTTACACTGAGCACACAGCCTTGAGGCACACCCTCTTCTTGTTCAAAAACATCAGACAAAACAGAGCCTATCCTTACTTGAAAAGTTCTAGCGTTCAGGAAATTCTGAATAAAATTTGGTAGGTTGCCGCGCAAGCCACTCTCGTGAAGATCGCGAATTATACCGTATCTCCATGCCTTATCATAGGCTTTCTCTATATCGAAGAAAATTGAGACAAGGTGATTTCTTCTTACAAAAGCTTTTCGAATGGATGTCTCTAAGAGGAGCATATTATCTACGGTTGTTCTCCCCTTTCGAAAACCACTTTGATAAGGCGATATAATATTATTCTTTTCCAAGAAGTAGACTAGGCGGCTGTTTACCATCTTTTCAAACAGTTTGCAAACACAGCTGGTAAGGGCAATTGGCCGATAGTTCGAGGGATTCCTCGGGTCTTTCCCTGGCTTCGCAATAGGAATGACAATAGCTCTCCTCCATGCACTGGGAAATGTACGCTCCTTCCACACTCTATTGTAAAGTGTGAGAAGGGCACTCAGTGACTTACAGGACAGATGCTTTAGCATTTCATAATACACACGCCATCCAGACCCGGACAAGACCTATGTGTCTGCAACAAAGCTCTCTTTAGTTCAACCATAGTAAAGTCTCTATTGTACGGCTCAAAGTTGGAAGAGTTGAAAGCGATGGGATTTTTCTCAGAGCGTTGCTTGATAGAAAGAAATGCAGGTGAGTAATTTCGGCTGGAAGAAACGGCAGCAAATGTCTCACCAATTGTATTTGCAATTTCTTCTATGGAGCTAATCACTCGGCCATCTTTTTCCAGAAAGGAAAGTGAGTGGTCTTTTTGTACATTCCGCATGCTTTTCGAACTCTTTCCCAAACCCGCTTACTAGGCGTAGAGGATGTTATTGAGGACACATATGAAATCCAGGAATCCCTCTGGCTCTGCCTTCTTACTTTCCGTGCATTTGCTTTGGCTCTTTTAAAAGCTATGAGGTTTCGCAGAGTAGGATATCTACGAAAAATACCCCATGCTTTTTTTTCTGTTTTTTCAGTGCTTCATGACAGTCGCGATTCCACCACGGTTTCGAATATTTTAGTGTTTTTTCCTGATGTTCTAGGAATCGAAAGCATAGCTGCCTGAATAATAGTATTAGTAACAGCTTCAACAGCGTCATCGATATGCACACCTTCTACCATTTCCTCTGTCAGCTCTGCAACGGAAGAGAAGAGTTCCCATTCCCAGTCTGCCCTGTCCAGGATAAAACGAGGGACTCTCGACACGGGGTTTGCTCCTCTTCGTGCAAGAGACAC